TTTTTTTTTTTTTTTGCTAGATGACAACACAAAAAATGGCATGAAATAAATGTCTTTTATATCAGGAAAAATAATCACAAGTTTCCGGTGGTTTGAGGCAACGGAGGGTTTTGAGTGCTCAGGAGCTGGCTTTTTCGCAGTTTGCCTGCATTTCACCCATCCCCCTCCCTCTCCCTCTCCCTCTCTCTCTTCCCCTCTCCCTTTTCTACCCTCTGCAGCGTCACTTGCAAAACTGCGATACTGAAAGTCCTGGTAGTCTGGGGTTATCTTTGACAGCCTAAGAAATAGCGTAATAGCCTGATGGGAGGCAGCTGTTTTCGGTTTTTTTTTTTCCCCCCACCTCCTGCTCCCCGAAGAGGCGTTCAGATGATTGGGTTTGGGCTGTTCCGACTCTAGTTTTCACTTTTATGAGCATAAAAAAGAAGCGCATAGGAACAACACGCACATAAGTACACGTTCATCCCCGTCAGTTTTAAAGGAGTACGATTAAATACAAATATTCGGCATGCCCTTTCATCCCCCTGGAGCAGGCAGCGCACACTGGACCCTTGTGTTCGCTCAGGGAGCCCCGGTGACGTTAGCTCGGCTCTCTGCTGGTACGAGGGTCCCTCTCAGCGCTATCTGGGCCGAAGTTTTGCCAGGCTGAGCCCAGGCCAGACGTCAGCCCCGTTGGCTGGGTGACAGAGGTGGAGGAGGATGGAGAGGCAGAGCTTTCTTTTTGCCGTCCGATTTTCCCACAGGAGAGACCGAAAACGTAGGTCTATTGCACGTGTTAACGACCAACAGTAATACCCTCGCGGGCTGCCTCTCGTTCTGCAGTTTTGAGCTACCACGGCACCCGTCGCACGTCTCCCCAGCGCTACGGCAGCAACCCACTCCTCTCTCGCTCGCGGGGTTACCACGTAACTGCCTTTTGTCTCGCACCCCCAGCACGGCTGCCAAAATAATGCCTGTTCCTGCCCTCCAGGCATTACTGCAGCAAGAGTCTTAGTGCGAGCTTTGGTTGCTCAAAAACAAATATATGAAGAAAACAGCCAGCCGGAGCCTGTCCTGTCCTTAAACTGACAACACATCTTACAGTGCATTTGCTGTGCATACAAGGAAAATGATGCATTTAGGATTTTTTTTTTAGGTTGAACAGGGCTTCAAAAATCCTTAATCTGCCTTTTATCTGTAAGCTAACAGAAGACAGGCCGTTCTTGCCACTTCTCAGGAGAGATGCACAATGAAGTACTCCAGTTTAGTCTTACAGTAGGATCGACAGCCAGAAGTGGAAAAAACAATTGAGGCTGGGTGGATAGATAGTACAATAGCTATTGTTACATATAGCATCCCAAAGGGCAAACATATGCAAAGCTGTGAATATTTGACCAGCTCCCCTTTTGATTCAACGGTAATTTTCAGTCTTGGGTTGCAGGCTTGAAGAGATTGATGGAAATGACACCGAAGGCGGACGATTCACAGTGCAGATACATGTTTTTTCCTTCCCTCGCCTCTGTTACTGTCTCAGCGTATCAAGTCATCTGAAGTACGTTAACGTGGAAGCGCATTTCAGTGTCCCCCACCTGTAAAATTGGGGAGATCGATGACCTGTTCTCCAGGACGGCCAAAGTATCGTACGCTCTTCTGCAGCACGCCGTGATGTACGTTCGTTAGCTGGGGGAGGAGAGGCAGAGACGGCTGCCGCTGCCGTCCGCACGGGTGTCGCGCAAGGGGCCGCGCGGAGGACGGGGCTTCTGCCGGAGCCGTACCTCCTGGCACGTGGCGCGTGTTATTCCTTACGCCATAAATTTGCAAAAACCTAAAGCGTGCTGTACGGCTCCTCCGCGCTCCCCACGGGGGCTGGGAGGCAGCAATCGGGAGGAGGCCCAGGAGGAGGCCGCAGCGCTGGGAAGGCCGGGGGTGTGATGGGTGGCGGGCGACGGTGCAAAGCGGGGCCAACCCCCGTGGGGGAGGGGGGAAGG